CCAATTCAAAATGAAGTTCAAATAGTAACGTACATAAAAGTTTTTCTGTTATTTAGGCCTTGTATGGGAGGGATTTAAATCGGATTAAAATTGAAAATATAGCCGTTATTGTTGACTTTTATTAGACGGGTGGGGTCCAATAACGGTCATATTTTCAATTTTAATTGGATTTTAATCACTCCCGAACGGGGCCTAAAAATCCTATAAATTATTTGTAATTGTTATTTAATTACTAAACTATTTCGAAAGTTAAACATTTAATATTTTATTTTATTACTTTATTTAACGATATAAATTCTACGTTGAATTAAATTTATTATGTTATTTTTTTCTTAAAAAAATACGACAACAAAATTTTGTTTTTAATTATTTTAATTAGGTTTTTAATTTTATTATTTTTAATTGTTACTTTGTTACCGGGGTTCGTTTTATTGGTTACATTACGACTTAACAAAACTTCCACCAGTAAATAAAATTTTCTGTGATATATAAATTATAACTGGTCGAAAAATCTAAATCTATTTTTTATTTAACCCCTGTTTGTTTTTACTTTTAAGCAGAATTCATACCGTTGCTACAGTAATGTAGTTGCAATCTTTGACCTCTTTCTCTCATAGGAGGCTCCAATGTTTTGAAAAAAATGGTAAAAAATTGATTTTTATGTTAAAACAATTTGAAACAAACAGCCCCTTAGTTTACTTGAAAAATATCATTAGTAAAACTATTTAGCATGGATCTTGATAATCTTAATTTTAAAGCATTAAGCAATCGTCCCTCTTATTTAGAGATTAAATCGATTTTACTAGCAATGCGATTGGCACTCGACCTCAATTAGAGATAGAGATAATCTTATGAACTATAAACCCACAAAATCTCATGTGTCGAAGTGTGGGATTGGTTGAAATCTGATGGCGTGTAAGAAAAACGAGACATCTAACTCAAATCATCAGACAAAACAAGCCAAAAAGAAAAGAAAAAAAGAATAAAGCTAACGTTAATTCACCATCGTCTGTCACGACGAGAAAAAAGTGGCGTAATAAACCAAACATAGCTCGAAGTACGTTCCATTGTCCCTGTCCTCTCCTCTCCCCTCCCCTATTCTATATTTACCATTCTATAAATACACACAAATACACGCACATATCACTGTTAATAATTCTATAAAGAATTGGTTTCTGGTATTCGAGAAAGAAAATAAGGTTTGGAATTGCCTTCGGGTCCGACGGTCCCACTTTCCCTCTCTCTCTTTTCTTGGTAATTCATCCTTGTTCTTCCCGAGAGAGGGACACTCCCGAAGCCTTTTTTTCAGGTCCATCCTCTCTCTCTCAACATGCATATATTGTTTGTGTGTTTGTGCAATGTATTTGTGAATGTACGCATGAATGATTTCTTTTGTCATATTGCATTTTCTCGGTAATTTCTTGTCATCGGTCGATTTCTGATATGTCAAATTTTAATGATGATATTGAATTGAATTTTTCCAATTTTTACGCTGAAAGGAATTAGCTTTAAACTATATGTTCGAGTTCGATGCTTTCTTTTGAATTGGTCCTCATCACATTTTTTTGGTAATTTCCTTGATCATATTGCGGCATTGCCTCATAATTTATTTATTCCATTTTTTTGTCCCATCTGAAATATGAAATTGAAGAGATTCAAATTGAAAATCATAATCATTTTGGGCCTTTGATTTATACCTTTTTGATAAGGACAACTGGTTTGCTAATTTGATGGGGGACCCATTTAGATCATTCTTTCTTTTCTAACATTCCATATCTTTTATTTTGGATTTGGTCTTTGAAGTGAAGATACCAATGTCATGATCCGCCTTCTTGTTTTCTCTTATTAGCATTTTCAGAATATATTTGGAAAAAGTTGGGTAAAAAATTTGCATAAGATATCGATTTCTGCATCTCATGTTCTATTTCCTAAGCCTCTGTTCGATTTCGCCTTTCAATTTTGGTTTTGATGAGATCACATTGAGCTGCTAGCTTTGTTTATATAATCATTGCTTTGTTCTAGCAAATGGGATATTGAGTTACTGACTTGTGCGGAAGCAATTTTACTCGAGATTCTTGAATACTAAAGTATTCTTTAGAATTTCAAGATTAATAAATACAGTTTCTAGTTGAAAATCTCAATTATTTGTATTATGCTTTTATGATTCTTTGATTGGAAATAGATGTTAACTTCTTAAAATTTGAAAATGAATTGGAACTTCAGGACTGCAAATTTTTAAGCCATTTGAAGTTATGTCTTAAAGCACATGGTGCTTTGCCATATTATGCATCAGAAAATGTCAGAGGCTGACAGGTTGCACGTTGTTGCAGATATTTAGAAGACCGACTCATACCAATGGGTGGTTGTGTGTCAACTCCAGCTCTACCGAGCAAACAATCAAAACCACCTAAAGTAAGGAAGAAGCACCATGTCGGCTCGAAAAAGCACCATGGAAAGGTTTTGAATTTGGTTTTACATGGAAATAAAAAAAAGAACAGTGAATCAGGAGGTCGAGTAACAGATTTCGCTGTTAGTGAGTTTGTTCACACAACCACTACCTGTAGAAGATCCGAGGTCTCCAACTCAACATTCCATCTTACTCAGTTGCAGTGGCTCCATAGTCAAATTGATGCTAATGGTAATTGTTATCTTCTTTCTGAAATTGAATCTTCTCTGTGGGAAGTACCTGAGTGATTGAGAATTGTAGAATACTATATAATTGCTCTCCTGGGCAGGAAAACCTGATTTTACTCAAATATGCGTACACAAACTGTGTTGAATTTCACTTACGGCTACTTTTTATTATATACTTTGTTTATTACAAGGGAGAAAAGCCATCTTGTAACTTAAAACAAATTTATGCTAATTTTTTTGTCTCACGTGGTTTTAGCTACATGTTTGAATCATTTGTGTGAGCCAATAAAGTATTCCTGTGCTTGCAGGAATTTGTCAAGAAGAAGCATGGTTCGATACAGTCAGTATATTAGAATCTGACTCTGATGATGACTTCAGCAGTGTACATGGAGGTAATAAAACATCAAGCTTCTTTCTTTATCCTTTTAGTTTTTGTAGCGAATATCTTTTGGTGCAAATCTGAGATAGGACTGTTGTTAGAATAGAGTTGATTCTCAAGTAATTTGATTTGCTGACGATTAGGTGGTTGGAACATGTTTACGTAGACCTATTAAGTCTTTCATAAGAGTGATGCAATCTCAGTTGAACACATCAGAAGAGGTAGAGGTAGACCATAACTAATGTGGCTTGTTGACATTGTTAGCCTACTCCAAATTTATTGGGTACAAGGCTTAGCTTGTTGTTGCCTGCCTAACAATGTTTCAAGTTCCCATTTTTATACGTTGAAATATAGATGTATATGGAAGACTTCATTATATCTAAGTTGTTAAAAGTAATAATTGAGATTTTAGTCTTTTTCTTTCTTTGGAGGATCAATTTGAGTTATATGGTATATCTGCTATAAGAAGTTAATTGAATTTTTGATTTTTTCTGCTGAAGCAATTCATTAAGATTATTGATTATTATATCAACTTCAACCCCTCAATGTAAAGGAAACATTTTATTGTTTGAGTTATCTCACAAGTAACTACTCACATGTTATGATTGCTAGATGCTAATTGAGATGTATAGTCATGTAGTGACATTATAGATAACACCTTTATGACTGCATTATGACACTTTTGATCGATAGATTTCTGGTTAACGGAATTTCTGCTTACGATAACAAAAGTTTGAACTGAGCAGTACTTTTTATTTATACTGTGCTACTTTTTCTTATGCAGATTTTTTCCCCAACATTTCAAACGGGCAAGTACTTCAATATGAAGCTGCATCATGCTTTGTGGATGGAAAGTGTAATTTCAAAGAATACCATGAAAAATATCTGAAAATAGATAATTGTAAAACAGACTTGTACTCGAGCAAAGATGGAGTCAAGGAGCCAAATGGATATGCATTCATAAATGATCAGGGAAATGAACTTCCAGGTTTAGGGAAGGCTGAAGAGCTTGGTACCAAGAGGAAGAATAACTTAAATCGTGCCCATGGAAGCTTTAGTGGCCTTAAAGAGGACAGACGTGATCTTGAGGGAAAAAATCCAGGGAACTTATTGAAGTCTGTCTTACCCCGGTTGGTTCCTTCTGTAAGTTTCAACGATAAGGTCATCAATGTATCAAATTCAGGTCCACTAGCTCAAAGAAAGAAATCAACTGTCATCAGGCTTTCTATGAAAAGGAAATCTGTTGAGGGAGATGAAAATGAATTTTGTGAGTATATTTTGAGTTGTTATGTCAAAATATTATGGAATTTCTATGCTGTAAGACTGTAATGTTACTCGACATTGAAATAACAATTATAATGCAGGTACGTCAAAAAAGTATCTTTTTCATCCAAGAGCAGGACTTATAATTCCATGTTGTAATGAGGAGAAGCCAACTGCTGGAACTTGGTCCGAGATTGAGCCCTCGACCTTTAAACTCCGTGGAGAAAACTATTTTAAGTATGCTGTTAACACATATCTGTTGACCACGAAAACTTTTCAAAATATGTGCATACTGCTGTAGTATTGTGAATTGCCTGATAATATAGTATTGCAGAGATAAGAGGAAATTCCCTGCTCCAAATGTAGCTCCTTATACTCCAATTGGCGTTGATTTATTTTTATGCCCAAGAAAGATAAACCACATTGCCCAACACCTGGAGGTGCCTTCACTGAAAGCAGACAGGAAAATTCCTCCACTGCTAATTGTTAATATTCAGGTGATTTTTAAGTAATTTTTAATTTTGGTGGAGATGTTGGCTTGTTTTGATGCAACACCTTACCAAATAAAAATTTCTTCATCTTATATTGCCTTATGTGATCATTTGTATTTGTTTTTTCTCGTGATAGTTGCCCACTTATCCGGCTCCCATGTTCCTTGGTGATTCTGATGGGGAAGGCTTGAGCCTTGTACTCTATTTTAAACTTAATGAGAATTATGAGAACGAAGTGTCTCCTCAGTTTCAGGACAGCATTCAGGTATCAATTTTCTACTTTAGCTAAACTTTTTCTTTCTTGCTATGATTTCAATGGTTATAGATTGATAGAGGAAAGGATGGAAGAAGTAAGAGCAATTACACTGGTTATTAACAGTTCTTTATGCTGCAGAGACTGCTCGTTGATGATATGGAAAAGGTTAAAGGATTTGCAAAAGACTCAATTGTTCCTTTCAGAGAAAGGTTAAAGATTATGGTTGGAGTGGCTAATCCTGAAGATCTTGTCTCCAGTTCTACTGAGAGAAAACTTCTGAATGCTTACAACGAAAAGCCAGTGCTTTCCCGCCCTCAGCATGAATTTTATCAGGTGGGGTATCATCTTTGTCCCCCCCCCCCCAAAAGACTATGTTGGCATGTTTGCTAAAGTGGATTAGTACAGGATTTAATTTTTAATAAGAAAAAAAGTTAAAACATTTGTATAATGTATGGGTCAGTACAATCTAATACCTCGTTCCTAACATGTACCGTGAATAAGTTGTTTTTTCTGGTTAAATTCAGTATTCTGCATATTAAGGCAGGCTTTACGTTCGTGAAATTCCACTTGAATGTTGTTTCTCAGAGATAACCTTTGTTGGCCATAAATGTTGCTTTTTCCTTCTTACAGAAATATATGCCTTTCATTGCAGAGTTAATGCAATTTTTATTAAGGTTGAATGATGTTCATTTTTTTTTCCTGCTTATACTTGTGGAATGATATCTTTTCTTATTTTTGCATTTCCTTTTTGTACAGGGCTCAAATTACTTTGAGGTCGATCTTGACATTCATCGCTTCAGCTACATTGCAAGAAAGGGACTTGATGCATTCCGGGATCGTCTAAAGAATGGAATACTGGATCTTGGACTGACAATTCAGGTGTGTAAGGAAAAAAAAAAAAAAACTAAAATCTTGTCTGTTGTGCTATTGAGTATAGTCTGCTTGAATTGACTAATTCTTTGTTTAACAACCAGGCACAAAAGCCCGAAGAACTGCCTGAGAAAGTCCTTGGTTGCGTGAGATTAAACAAGATTGATTTTGTTGATAATGGTCAAATACCCACGATTGTAAGGAACGACGATGAATGATACGGACATAGAGCGGCACAGTCTAGGTTTTCCGTCACCTTCGAAGGGCAAGTTTCGATGTGTTTTGACGTCAATTCTGAGCAATCACAGCTTCTACATGTCAGATGAATAATGAGAAATAAGAAGTTATCTTATCCATAATTGTAATGTTGTTTCATTCGAATCTTGTAACTTCGTTAACATCAAAATGTTTAACCTCTGATGTGTATAAAACTCCTTTTTATCTCCTTTGGATGTAATTCTTTCATTGATTCTTGATTTTATCTTATTACATTATTAAAAATTTCGGAAAATTCTCTTCCTAGTTTGTTTGAATATAACTAGCTAATGAAATACATAGATTAAGTGAATATTTTTTCATTCTTTGATCTAGTACTACGTTCACTAAAATTATATCATTTTCAATCTTGTGTCATGTTATTTTTGCCATAATTTCGTGTTTGGATCAGAAAGTCTTGATCGACAATAACTAATAATCAAATTTGACAGAACCTAGATTTCAATAGCAAATTTTTGTTTTTGTTCAAGGTAGAGAATTGATTACCAACAATTATTGAACTCGTGCTTCTCAGCTTTTGATAAAGAATGATCCAAATATAGTTTAAGAACAGTAATACCAAAGTGCATGAAGAAAAACTTCTTGACAAAGTCATATATACTTTAACTCATCATATATGATCCAACTTTTATGTTTTTCAATCACGTTTGATGATTGTTTATTTTGAATCCGTTCGACATATATGTTTTAACTCGACCTCTAAAAAGCAGAGAAATGAAGAAGTAGCGTCCAAGTTCATGACTCTAAAACCTCCACAAGTCCCTTTTCACAATGTCAAACTTATCCGTTCATAAGGACACAATCTCGACCAGTCTTTGGAATTCTACCATAAATCCTATATGTACATGACATTTCGTATTTGGAACCAATTAAGTCATACATCTTGTTGTGAGAGGTAAGCAAGACTTAATTGTCAAAGCATCGTGATTTGAAATTACGGTTCAAGGGACCATATGAAGATTTTACTACTAGGGATACAAGTGGCAATAAGAAAAATGAGTGGGGTAAAATCAGTAAAATGATTTAGGGCTTCCCTATCAGTGCTCACTATATAAATTCGCAGGAGCAAACTGAAAAACAACACCGCCTTAGGCCGAGCGCTTCCCTCGCGAAAGAAGAGGTGGCGTGGTATTCCACGAGAGAGGTTTTTATAAATCGTGGCGCACGTTTGTGCGATGGGCGTACATTAATTCAACTGGGGACTCCATGGCCGCTGTGCTGCTTCAGCTTGCAGCCATAGCGAGGGGATTGCCCTATATTTTTGCAATTTTCCTTTTTTTTTTTGGTTTATTTATTTATTTTTTCAGTTCTTTTTTTACGAGATTCATCGTCGCGGAAAAATCTATTGGTTTATTACGTGCGTTTGTTTGAACTTGTATGTATTTTTTAGGTTTATCTTTTTTCTATCCCCAAATAATCATACCATAACTTTTCACTTTGTTATGGATTTTACAATTGAAATGAAGGATCAGTATACATTTATAAATCATATTGCCAGATGATTCACTGCAGATAATGGTTTTGTACTTCAAGGATTAAGAAGATATTTATTTTGTTTTATAAATAAATTTTAAAAACATTTTTTTGTCAATTTTTTTTACAAGTATTTTGGTTGGTTTTTCTTTAACATGGGTTTTATCTATCGATAAAGAATAAAAATATTTCGTTTTCTAAATAAATTTTACAAACCTTTTTTGTCAATTTTCTTCACAAATATTTTGGTTGGTTTTTCTTAAGCATGCGTTTCAACTATTGATAAAGAATAAAAATAATAATCAATAAATTTATTTGATCCAAATTAAATCAAAGAATTATTATTGAAGTGTGTAAAATTAAAGTATAATACTTAGTAAATAATTTTATGTATATTTCAAAATACTAAATTCTATTTTTCTTTTTGTATACTTGTAATATATAACACTTTAACTAATTTTTCATTAAATGACCTGTTATGTCTCATCAGACTCTAAACATGAAGATGTGGCAAACAACTAGCAAACAAAAATAGATCTGCACTCCATGTCACTATTTTACCTGGCCTAGTCGAATTCCCATATAGATGTTGAACTCCCTTGGATGAGGTGATGACCTTTTTGCCATGTTCTAAAAGGCACGTAAATGCGTCGCTTAGACGCAACGCGCGTACAAAACGCGTTAAAATGGATAATGCAGGTAAAAATGCGGTCAACGATTTTTGTTGACCACCTAGGCGTCTCAATGCGCGCATAGGCGAGCATCAGGCAAGCCTATGCGCGCATTGAGACGTCTNTCTATTTTTTTTATGATATAGTAAAAAACCTATTTTTCTATATAAAAATCTACTTAATGTCTTAAAAATAATTAAAATAATATTAAAAATACGAAACGCATTATGATGCTTATTCTTCGCATTGACACGCCTAAACTTGTGATTCTTGATTCTCGACCTGACGCATCGCAACGCATTTTAGAACACTGCCTTTTTAGTAGTCAAAGTGACATTCTGTCGGATCTCTATGAAGAGTTAGTACTCATATGGCGAGGTCGAATGCTCATGGGCGAAATGAGGCGCTACAGGGATCTCTTGTATAAGATCTTTTATGATCAATTGTGACCGCTCGCTCCTTACATATCATGCTTATTGCCATAAAATGGCTATTTGTCAAAAGTAATTAATGCATTTGAGCTTAGGATTGACAGGATGACGTTTATGACAAGATGTTTCGATTGTTAAAATGAGGTCATGTGTTTTTTCATTCAAAAATTATTGTTTCTCTTCTATTTAGGAGTTTGCATTTAGTGCTTGTTTAAGTCCTATTTTTGTCCAAAAAAAAAAAATGCAATTTTTTTGGTGATTTAGGCGTTCGAGTTTCACCTGACTAATTCTAAGGAATGGTAGTTTTTTTCCCTGATTCGCTACTAGGGTAATTCTGGATGTGGTCACAGTTTATACACAATAGATCGGATATTTGGGAAGCGGTTCTCCTCCCTATAGACCTTCTTTTACAATGTGTTGACAAGACCTCCCGAAGAGGCGATAAAGTGCACCATAACTTTTCTACCGCATGACATATATCTTCCAACATAAATGTTGCATTCCAATGCTACGGGAATTCGAACCTTTGATGCTATAAAGTGCACCATAACTTTTCTACCACATGACATATATACCTTTCAACATAAATGTTGCATTCCAATGCTGCGGGAATTCGAACCTTTGATGCTCCTCAGAGAACTTTCTATAATATTATTTTATTGAAAAATGTGTGGTTGAAATGAGATTACAACATTATTTAAGAACGCATTTTTTTTCCAAAAAATGAGGCTCAAACAAAGGTTTAGTGTTTCAAGGTAATACAATTTTATACACTTAACTATAACGTTACTCTCACATTATTCTCTGAATATTCTTGAATTCAAATCCCTTTCCATTGTGGCTCACGTCTTTAGCATATTTCACACCCAAATACTTACAAATCGATCAACTTGACTTTTGGGGTGCTCTAAAAAGGCCGTGTGCTTTAACAATTGATCAAGTGTGCAAGAAAGAGACTACATGGATGTGAAAGAAATCAATATCCGTTGATCACATCACCTCTACAAAAAACAAGGTCAACACGACATATTTATGTAATTTTTCCTTTTAATTAATACAATTTAGCACCAAATGAAAATAAGTTGCCCTCATGTTGAACTTAATATTTGTCAATTTAACGATTAACTCTTGTAGTTAATTTATAAATCAAGTAATTGAATAGGATTAGATCGGTTGATTTGACTGAAAAAAAAAAAAACTTTGTAAATTGGTTTTCGGCAAAATTTTATTACTCAAACAAAAATGAAATTCAAGAAAGCAACCGACATGGATCAGAGTATAGGAATGTAAGTACTGGCTTCCTCGAAATGTTCAGCAGAATCAATAAGACAGAGAGTTTACACTTTACAATACAACACATTGCTCCAAATTCTGTTTTACATACTTAGAGGCTGTCTGGTAGCACTACCTAGTGAAAATTGGACCGTTGAAATAAGATAAAAGGGACCTTTGCTTGTCATCTAATTTGCAGTACACTGACATGGCAGCCATTCTTTTTGAATATTTATGGCAAAATGACCTTTTTGCCATTACCTCAAAAATCATTTTGCCATCAAACAGGGCATTTTTGACATTNTGCAAACTGTTTCCCAGTCTGCAGTACCCAACGGTCCATTAATCGATTTGGTTTTGTGAGAAATCACAGCCAGACAGCCCCCTAAACTTCAAATAATGTCATTTTTATAGCAACTCTAAAAGTTCACATTATTTCAAAATAAAAAACGAAAAAATAATATGAATATACAGCAGAAAGTGCAATGGAAAAGTGGGGTGTATGAGAAATTAAATGAGGATAGACTTGTCAAGCCGAAGCATCTCAAGTTACAATTAGAGAAGAAAAGTAATCTTTACATTATGTTGCTGTCATCAGGTTAATCTTTCCTTTCGGTCAAAATATTTCAAAATGATCCCCGTATTGATAGGAATTGACAATGTACCTACCCATTTCTTGCTTGATTCTGATTTTCTTGTACCAAGCCTTTTACATAGTAATTTGAATGAATCTCTGTCGGGTTTTCGTATAGTTCATTGGTACAACTTCCAACAGTGGGATGAAAAGATCATAGTCGGTGCAGCATTGTGCAATCCTTGAACACCCATTATGCATCCCATATCATTTTGCATTGATCATTACATCAAAACTCTTGCAAAATACTCTCCAAAGTCATTTCAAAACCATTTTCTTGTAGAGAGAATTATCGTTCCAAGTTCATTGTTACTTGTGGTTTGAAGTGCTTCTAACACAAGTTGTATCCGTTGTATCTTGAAAGACAAATGTCGTAGTCCGCTAGCACCGTTACGGGGCAATATTGTCTTAAAGAGAAAGTGTTTTCACTTGTCTCGAATTTTGATCGTCACCTTATTTTCTTTTTCCTTACATTCTTTCTTTCCATTTTCAAATTAAATATTTTCTTTGAACAACCATTTATATATACTAATGCACCAACAAGAGCATTGTGAGTACTAACTTCAATTGCACTAGAAAAGATGTCTTCTCCAACACAACATGCCACGGCTGTCTAGCAAGGAAAAAAATAGACATTGTCAAAAAGACCATCTGTAGAGGCTCTTTCAGACGATAAAAACATCAATGGGACTATCCATTTAAATCAGTATACCTCAGATCTCGTGCTACCAAAACAGCTTGAAATGTAAAAAATTATAAACATGCAACTTGAAGAAGCAACTAGTTCTCCGTTCATACCCACACTTTCTTTCTTGGTGATTTTGAAGAAGAACTATACTCACGTATTGCGATTGTAACGAAAGGGGAGCTGTGCAATCGAGTTCTTCTCTCCTTGATTTTCGTATTATTGAATGTACAACAGATCAATCTGTAATTTCCCCCTTTACCACCGGAACAAGTTGAAGGGAAGAGCACTGCACAGCCATTTCTAATCCTTCAAAAATCAAAATACAATAAGCAGTCCAGAAAGGACTCTGTTCTCTCCAATTTCAACTAAAGTCGTGTATTTGGCGTATTCCGTTTAAAACGTTATTTAGTCTTCTATTTTATTTGCTTAACCGCACGGTAGAAACTACTATTCGTGGGAACGGCTCTTGTGGGCTTGGAATGATTCTGTAGTATATATTGGGCCCGTGTGCCCAAGCCTAATCTTACTGGCGGATCAAAATTTTCATTGGGCCCACATATATGGAATTTATTTCATTGATTTCTTTAAAATTTGTCAGAAAAAATTGGTAATCAAATCGTTTTTCTTAATCTAATAGTCACTCAAATTTCTAATGGTTTAAAAAATGGTCATCTAAATTAACGTATAGTCTGACGTGTTGACACGTAGTGGACTAAACAAATGATCATTCGAATTACTTGGATTGGAATTTCACATTTTCCCTACTACTTACCGTGGGTTAAGGTTATGTTATATGAATGATTATTGTATTACCAGGTGATTTTGACGTCTTTTAGTTTACTGTGATAATAAACGGTGATAGTTCGATTTTACTTGTAGGGCTCTCTTTAGATAGATTTTACTTTAGTTTTTTTTTAATCGAATGATCATTTGTAATATCACTATAAACTTTAATGACTAATAGAATAAGAAAAATACTTTAATGACCAATTTTGAAAAATTTCTTATAAATTTCAATATCAATTGGTGAAATAACATGAAGGGTAGTTCTTGTATAAAATTGATGACTTCCTTTAAATTTTAAATCGAAAGCCAACATGATATTTTTGAATTTCCTCATGTAAAAGTATTTAATTCAAAAACATAATCTTGAAATTTTATGGAAAGTTTTTATTGAAAAAAATTTTATGGAAAGTTTTTATTTAATGCTGTACAAACTCGGCTTCTTAATCCGCTATGGAAAGTTTCCTTAATCCTAAACAAACTCTGCTTCTTATTTCCGCTTCTCTCTCCTACTACTCTATATAAATCCTTCATCCCTACACCATTTTAAATTTCCACACAAAATTTCAATTTCCTTTTGCTTTTCGTGATCAGAAACTAGAATTCAGGTTTCCAGATTTTTGTGAATTGCTGGTACTCTCAAAAGTTGTTTCTGAATCATGACGTATTTGGTAATAACGCTAGAAGGAAGAGAAATATGCAGGGCTCTGATCAAGAAAGAATCCATGGAAGATTCTTGCAGTAAAGAGAATGCAAATGCTTCAGATATTGATGGCGATTGCATCTTTTCTGGACCTTCCAAGACTTTTAATCCCGAGAAGATAGTTCGAGAAAAGAAGTCTCGGTTGAACTACGAACTATTTGACAAAGAAGTTCCAAAACTGAAGCACAAGAAATCATCGGTGCAAAAGCGTCAGTCCAATAAGGCGGAGATCACAATAGACAAAGAGAAGGTGGAGTGGCTTAAATTTTCCAGGGATTATTCGTTTTTATTATCCGATAATGATGAGTTACATGGTTCTGGGGTAAAACTTAATCCTTGGATCGTTAAGAATGTTTCAAAATCTTGTGATTCAATGCCGAAGAAGAAATCCGAGGTATCAAGAAGAGAGGCAGCGACACCAAAACCAAAAGTGTTGTCCTCTAAACCATGGAGTAAAGAATCAAGGTTCAAGAATTCTGGCAGATCAAATTTTGAAGGTCATGTTCGAAAGAGAAAACAAGTAATCTATGAAGACGAGGATGATGACGACGACCAAGCCATTGATACTCATAAGGAAGATACTCGGAGGACGCCAGGATTGCTACGTAAAAAGATCGTAGAACAAGAAAAGAGGGAGACAAAGAAACGCAAGATGTATTGAGTATCGTAATATTCTTGTTTTCTTTATGTACTAGGCAACATTGTGCTTGTTTAGTTAGCTAATGTAGTTTTTTGTTCTATGATGTAATTGAAATTGAAATTTTTTTTTTCCTGAAATATAGACATGATTTTGTTTTTTTAACATCAATTTTGAGTCCAGCTACATATTTCTTTTGATAAAATCAAGAATGTTTGAAGTAAATATTTAACCTTTTTACGAATTTTATAATTATAGAATCACCAGATTTTATCGGTTCCAATTCAAATTGTCCATCAGACAATGTTCACCAATTGTATAGTAAAGAATAATCAGAATTTAATCAGTTCCGATTCAAATTGACCATTAGACAATGTTTGATCTGTTCTCCGTTCGATCCTCCCCAAACATGCTATCGAGCTCACATAGAAAATTTGCCAAACAGAAAAATGTAAAGGAAAATTATTTATACACCATTAAAAACAAATTCCACCATTCATATATACTGCCGTCTGCCAGCACTGGCATGGAGTTCAGTCTAACGTTCTTCATTATTTACGTAAGGCCTTTTTCCAGTTTTCGAATTAGCTTCCTCCAGCGTCAAGCAATAGCATGACTTATACAAAAGGCATTTACATGAACAAAAGGTCAACAAAATACTATCTCTGTCATTTCATGCAGCGATTTGCTCTTCTTTAAGCTGCAAAGTCATTGCTATCTGATCTTTGTTCACATAATCCATTTCTTTATGTGAGGAAGGATTATTGGCTACCGTCATCTGCGGTTTGCTGTATCTGCCTATCGGGATTTCATGATTATTATTGCCTTCGTATCTTCACCAAGGGAGAATTTATAATCTATTAGGCTAAAGTACAAACTAATAGATATCGAAAAGTTAAGACGAGTTGGCAGATCGCAAATTTTTTTAATTAGTCTGTGCAAATTCTGAAATCAACTTGTCATTACGTCGCGTCGTAGAAGTATTCAAAGAATGTTTTAACATATCAATATAAACACATTTTTGTAACTCTCATTTCACTATATTTGTTTAAGGGTGCTAGATAACAATTACATGAAATATCAGTTATGTCACAGTTACTAGCTAAACAATTTACATGTACATTAAAAATATCATTTGCACATTTAAAATCAGCCTCACCATCGGAAGTTTACAAATTATAGTAATAATTAAATTTTCAGGGGTAAAATGTCTAATATTGAACTTTTCATAAAATTCTTGTAAAGTTGAAACAGAGTCCAAAAAATAAGGATGTCTACCTGAAGAAGCCAAATTTTGGTACCTTATTGTGTACCAGGACATCTAACGGCAAAGAGTGACGTGTATAGCGGTGCGGTTTTGCTTGAAACGTTGACTGGGGGAAGATCTATGGAAAAAAACAGACCAAAAGGGGGAACATAACTTGGTGGAATGGGCTGCGGGCAAGGCCATATCTTGGAGAGAGAAGAAGGTTCTACAGGCTCATAGACACGTCTTGAGGGTCGTTTCTCAATCAAATGTGCACAGAAGTCTGCGCAATTGGCAGCTCTATGTCTTAGCTGTGGATGCAAAAGTTCGACCTCTGATGAGTGAAGTTGTTGAAGCCCTTGTATCGCTACCTAATATGAAGGACATGTCCTGTTCCTCCTCCTATTTCCAGGCCATGCACTCGTTAACATGATGGTGCCATCATAAATACGAGAAATGGAGTTAGAATGCAGGTTGGCTGCAGCCATGTCGGAGTCGTACTATGCCATACCGTCTACAGGCCTCGCGAAATCATCGTCATAGAATTTTTATTTTCTAATTGTACCGGGCAACATTGTTCTTGTTTAGGCCTCCACAGACTTTCGTTACACACTGTAAGTTGACAGTGCCAATATTTTTGTGAAATATAGACGACATGGTTTTGTTTTATTAACATGTTTTCGAGTCCATTGACAAATTTTTCTTGTCAATATCAACAAGAACAAGATAGGAATCTTGGGTAATTTATCTGGTAAGGTAAAGGATGCCACGTGAACATTGTTGGCTTCATTACGCTGAAACAGAATATATGAACAGAATATTTAACTATTTTATGAATTTCATAGCTAAAGAATCGTTAGAACTTCTTGAACTCCGAGTCAGATTGGCCAATACACAATACATTGCTAAAAAACTGGGCAACACCTACCGGGGTTTCAGAAACAACTTTTCGACCGCTTCTGTACATCGGAATTGGTCATTTCCGACTGAAAACAAGCTTCATAGATGGATTCTCAGTCGGTAAAGCCCCTTTTTAGTAGGGATATTTGATCTGGTTTCAGTTTCAAGGATTCCTCTCCAAACATGCTATATGGAACTCTAGGGTGCCTAACAAAGTGAAAATTTGCGACATAGAAAAAAATAAAGGAATGACAGAAGTACGCAAAATTATGTCTCTCCTGCAATATTTCATTTCATGGTGCCCAAAATTTCCCATGGGAATACATATCTATACATTCCTGTTATTTATCAGGTCTAAAAATGGACGAGTTACACTTCTGCTTTTCATGAGGGAGAATGTATACAGCATGTTATGTGAATAAGTCATTCCCGGAGTAACAACTTGTGAGGGAAAATTGGGGTGATTCACTGCATCTGGAAACCCTTGTGTCTCTAAACAAACCGCTGCATATGGAAGATAAATAAAGCCATCTTTTCCCTTCACGTGGTTCATATAGTTCGCGGTATACAACTGCACAGCAGGAGCATCAGATGATAATTGCATTACCCGTCCAGACTTCCTGCTATAAACCACAGCTACTGGCTTCATCTTTTTCTCTGTGGGACCATCAAGGACATAATTGGTATCATAACCACCTTTAATTTGTGCTATCTGGCCTCCAATTTCGTGGGATTTGAGGAAATCGTATGGTGTATTTTTAACTGATACCTTTTCACCAGTGGGGATGCTTTTGTTTACAGGCGTGATGTGAGACGCAAATAATTGAAGTTCATCATACAAGATAGTGCCACTGTTATGACCACCAAGGTTCCAGTAGCTGTGTTGAGCAAGGTTAACCGGAGTGGCCTTGTTCAAAGCTTCTGCCTTCATTGCTACACTCAAATTGTAGGAACCGCTTAGGGTATAGGTTACTGAGACACTAAGATCACCAGGAAATCCTGTTCAAGACATCAGAGAGTTGAGATTTGCCGTTTCAGTAGTAAAATAAAACGATTTTATGATCTATTCAAAAGATCGTAAGTATTGCTACAGAGGAAAGAGGTAATAATCTTGAATAACTGCAAATACTTACCTTCTTCACCATCGTAACTCTGATAGGATAAGGTAATGGAAGGAGATTGGCCACAATTCTCGTACTCTTCCACCTTCCAAATAACTTGGCTAAATCCCTTTACCCCACCTGCATTCAAACCACAACATTCAAGTACTAATCATGGTAAACAAAATGGAACTTAAGCTAACTCTTTACTGAGTATGAGGAACTCGTGGAGAATTATAATTGCACTAGACAAGACAATGGAGTACCATGAAGAGTGTTATTCTTTTCATTAGCATCCAGCTTATATACAGTTCCATTTAGAGTAAACTGAGCATTACTAATGCGGTTAGCAACCCGTCCAACAATGGCTCCAAAGTATTGAACATCATTCTGCACCATATAGAGTGTTAATCAGCATTTTTACCAGTTTATCATCATGCAAGCAATGGTTAACAACGATGAGAATATTTTTGTAGCCTAAACGAACAGATAATTATCAAGTCACAAAAACCATTCCTTCATAGCTGGAAAAGCTAATTAGACAAAATTATTCAATACAACCTCAGAATATCAAATGTAGGCAAAATTTGAACCTAAATTCATGTGATAAACAAAGAAAACAACAAAAGTACACTTGAACAACAATGAAAAACAAGAAAAGAATATTTTAATAAACTGGAGAAACATACCACATATTCTTCAAGTGTATCATAACCAAGAACAACATCTCCCAGTTTACCTGAAAAGACCCAAAAATTATGGATTTAAAACAATACAATTATGGAATTACAAGAATGTTTGAAGAAAAGGGACCAAATAATTCACCATTCCTGTCGGGAAGAATAACAGAAATTATTCTTGCACCAAAATTTGTAAATTTTACAGAGAAATCATCTTTCTTGAGCTCATAGCTCTTAACCTCTTCCTCTACACCATTGACAGAAATTCCAAATAATAAAATGAAGAAACAGAAAATTACAGAAACCTTAGGCATTTTCATGTTTCACAAATTCTGTCAATGGGTGAGTTTCGTGGCGATTAATAACCTCCAGACGGGTTCCAGATTATGAACATTGCTCCATAAAACAGACAAAATGAACGTATAGAAATGCTTTTTATGGCAAAAAGAAATTGTTGAGAAACGTATACTTTTTTACTATAATTGGCAAAAAGTGGCCCATTGGTTATCCTCTTTAATCAGCAAATCATTAGATTAATGCGATAGGAGAATGCTTATGAATGGCCATAAGTTGATTCATAATTTATGTTTCTTTGTTCTTTTTTCCTGTTTGTTTCTAGAATTCTATCAATATATTTTAATTGTTTCATTTTACGTCTATTTTTTCCTATCGAAATGCATTATAAATAAGCTAAATCGCTTTGATGCTCGTTAAAATTGGATTATGTTGTCCATTTTCATTATTTCATATCACGCTGATTTGACAATCTACCTAATAAGCAACTTGTTGATCTTAATCACTTCAACAAAAGCATAAAATAAACGTGAACGAAAAAAGAGAAGTTGTAATAAGATCTTTTTTGTATGTAATATAGAAAAAAATGAAAACCGTTGAAAGTCAGGGAAATTTACATTTTAATAAAGAATATAGGATCTTGCTACACGTACATCAAGATTTATATAATAGATTACATAATGCTACATGACACTTTACTCTTTGTCAGTTTAAAACACAATCAACTTTTTCATTCAATCTTTTCACTCTGCATCATCTTATGTAATACATTATGTACATTTTTTATGTATAAGTAGCAAAATTCAAGAATATATCCTGAGTTTGAAAATTTCAACACAAGGACAAGATGAATGGTCAATAATGGAAAAATTGTCTTTTCATTGTTGACAATATTTTATGGGTCGAGCCAAGCTGATCGGATCAGCTTGGCCATCGTTGGGCTCAACTCGTCCCACCACTCGAGCCGGTTCACACTCACTTCACCAAATGTAGGCTAGCTCACGGCTTGCCAATTTTTTTAAACTGAAAATTGCATTGTCACTCACCTATGACAAGCCAACTCGCACGAGAAATTCGCTGCTTGCCTGGGAGTGAGCCGCGCCCCTACTTGGGCCTGTTATGATATTAACCTTTTTCTGTCAATTGTACATTAAAGAACATTGTCGGATCTAGGGGGGACAAGGTTGTGCTATAGCCCGTCCCCAGCCCAATTTACCTTGAAAAGAAAAAATTTCAGGTAATTTTTTTATTTTTTGTTTTTGTTTGCTTGCTTTGCTTTTTTTTTTTTGGCATATTAGTCCGTCTTAAAAATTTTCCTGGGTCGCCCCTGTTAAAGAAAATACTCTGTTGCCTTCAATGGTAAATTCCAAAATTCAGTATAAGATTTTATTCCTCCAATCACCCTCATGATCTTTTCTGAAATGACAAAGAATGCAGTAAAAAATAAAAAATAAAAAATAAAAACAGAACAATCCACAAGCTAATATCAGAAGAAAAATGTTCATTGTTAATAACTTAATATATGTCCTCTGCAATATTTGTTCATTTCATTGTACTGAGAGAAGAACAAATTTTCTTGTCAAATTCAAAGTTTCGAGCAGATGAGCAAAAAGCTCTTAATCTTTATTAATGGTAAATGTATACAACATGTAATGTTCATAAGTCTTCCCCGGAGTCACAATCTGTGAGGGGAAATTCGGGTGATTGACTGAATCTGGGAAACCTTGAGTCTCTAAACATAAGCCTGCATAAGCTTGATAAATGTACCCACCTTTCCCCTTCACGTTGTTAAGGTTGTTCCCCGTGTAGAGCTGTACGCCGGGAGCATTTGATGATAGCTTCATTACTCGTCCAGACTTCTTGTTATAAACCACAGCTACAGGCTTCATCTTTTTACTCTCGTAACCATCAATGACATAATTAATATCGTAACCTCTGGATCCATTGGGAAGTTCGTTCATCTGGGTTTTGATCACGCGGGGCGAGAGGAAATCATACGGTGTTTTCTTAACCGATACGATTTCACCAGTCGGGATTAGGTCTTCATCCCCAGGTGTGATGCGTGATGCAGATAGCTGGAGCTCGTCCGACAGAATATCCCCACTGTCGTGACCACCAAGGTTCCAGAAGCTGTGTTGGGCTAGGTTCACTGGAGTGGCCTTGTTTAAAGCTTTTGATTTCATTGTTACGATTAATTTGTACGGCTCAGAAAGAGCATAGGTTACGTAGGACACAAGAGCACCCGGAAAACCTGTTCCAGACACGAGGAATTGAGATTTTAGAAACAATTACATCAGAGGATCCAGTTTAGTATGCATATGAAACTATAAGCGCCTGTTTGTAGCTCATTTCTAGAAGTTTTTTTTCCCGTTGTACAATGTAAAGCTCATTCAATTTTCAAGAGGCTGTGCAAAGTTATTCCTTTATGTTTTCCTTTATCATTTCTACCCCCAACACTCCAACCACTGTAGTCAATGCGTAACAGGGCGTATAAATGGAAAAAAGATGCATAAATGCTACAGCACTTTGACATTCAACACTCATGGTGTGCCATGCATGATGTGACCGAAAATGCATTTTTCATCTAATAATGGCGCCCAAACGATCAACGAGTTAATAGGACTAGATAAGTCCAGATCTCACTTCAAAAAAAAAATTGAGGGACATAATGCATACCTTCTTCGCCATCAGCACTATAATAGGACAAGGTAATGTAAGGAGATGGACCCTCTTTTTCATGTTTTTTAACCTTCCAAATAACTCGGCTAAATCCATTTTTCCCACCTGTATCAACGCGGAAACACTTAAAAATTGAGGGAAAGTAATTAAATGTAAGAAGAAACCTAATAGTAACATGCAAAATATCAAATTACCATGAACCGTGTAAGTCCCATTGCCCCCATTAGCATCAAGCTTGTAAAGTGCTCCGTCTAATGTAAACTGAGCACCAGCAATGCGGTTAGCAACCCGTCCAACAATTGCTCCAAAGTTACCCGAATTGTTCTGTAGTCAATGACAAAATCATAGATACATGTAATCGAGTCATTTATGGAGTAATTTACAGAAGCTTACTATAATAAAGCAGTGGTATTGAAAATACCCAATGCCAGATAAATATTCTCAGCACAGGAGGTTACTAGCTGATCAATTTAGAACTGGAGGCATGACAACTGAGTATGTTTTCCTAGCTAAATGATGAACAGCCACTAAAGCACCCAATAGATATCTTAAAATTACTTCTGCTATCTTGAAATCGAATACAATCCATCAGGCTTAGATTACCTGTATACAGAATACTCTTAAGGAATTATCTTTTCATATCTTAAAATCTCTGATTATTTTTTGAAGGTAAAACAGAGAGAAGAAATAAAAATATTCATTCCATCCATCTGTAAAAACTATTATCTAAAGTAGCATAGCACGCCAGCTTGCGGCCGCCTTATTCCCATCTCTGTGGATAAAGAGACACGAACCACTGCCCACGGCTCTAAGCAACGCTGCAATATCTGAAATCACTCCAGCATTCAGTGTCATACTAAAGTCAGCCTGTAAGCTGTGAACCACCCACAACGATTCACATTCCACCCCTACGAGCTGCAGGCAAGGTCACAGGGAATCCATCTCGGATGGCTAGCGGCTTTGCATCCTACACCGATGGCCTCCCCACTACCCGTCTGGATTGTGCTTTCACCACGACTTCTTCCTCACCCCTAATCACCACTTGAATCATGAGGGACGGCTGCCCCCCGCAACATTTGTAAATTTTTCGGATTTATATAGATATTTTTTGAGTTAATTAAATGACTGGCCATTGAATTTTCCTATTGGTTACCACTTGCTCACCAAAATATAAATGGTTACAGAATGCTCACCTTACTATTCATTAATTTACTCATCCATCACTAGGGTCAATTCCGTTTGTACATGTGGACAATAAACTACATGTGGAGGATAAAAAATGACGTGGCAATAACGGCGTTAAATGAATACACGGTGGGTAAAAACAAAATGGGTAAAATAGCAAGTTTAGTTCCATTTAGCAAACATGTTTTTTGCTTCTTCCTTCCAAATTTTCTCCCACATCATTCACCACCCATTTTCTCTTCTAGGAACCATCTGCGATAGAGAGGAATGAATTCTGCTTTTTCTCCATTTAAGGTTTCTTGAATCTTTCATTCTGAATTTGTTTGTTTTTTAACTAACAAAATGAAAATGAAACCTAGTTTCTTAATTTTCTGTCCATTTCTTTGTATTTTGGTGTTAATTTCTTCAGTTTCTTCCTCCAACTTCAAGCACCAATTCTTCTACATGTCCCATGGATCTTGGTTATGTACTGAGAATTCCAATAAGCCCCTCCAAATCCTAATTCAATCCAGCAGATTTCTCCTACTTCCAATGATCCCACTACCGGAAAACGCGAGTGCTACCAGACCCTCCTTTCCCTTTATGGCATAAGATTGTCACAGCATCTTAAAGAGACTTCTCTTTTTGAACTGCACAATTTGCCAACTTCCATTTCTTGCCTTGAAGATTTCCAATCCAAGTTGAATTCTCTTTTTCTCCCACAAAATCTAGGGTTCGCACTGATATGGGATGAATTGTGCACAACTAAAAATTTTAATTCAAAGGGGACATAGATATAGAACTTGGATATGAATTACAAAGCTGGGATTGCCAATAGATTGAATTAGTTTGAGGATGTGATTTGGAGATGAAAGTGAGTTGGGGATGAATATTTCAATCTCTCTGATAGAACTTTGATTTTATCCGTCGAGAAACGTTATTTCAAATTATACAATTTTGGCTATTTAAAAAATAACAAATTAGAGTACACGGAAATGATTCATCAGCCACGTCATTTTTTTATCTTCATGTAAAATTTATTGTCCAACTGTACAAACGGAATTGGCTCTAATGATGGATGGGTAAATTAATGAATAGTTGAGTGAGCATTCGGTAATCATTTATTTTTCGGTGAGCAAGTGGTAACCAATGCTAAAATTCAGTGACCACTAGTTTAATTAACTCGATATTTTTTAGTGTCTACATAATATATATATATTTTGCCCCTCCCCCCCCCCCCCCCCCCCACACATTGAACTCCTGGCTTCTCCACAGCACCAGCCGTGGTACTGTAACATCTGTTTTGAGAAGCAGCCCTCCACCCTCGGGTGAGAGCCACCGGGCTACACCCCCTCACCTCCCTTTTCCCATTTTAACCACACTCACCGACCTAAACAGGCTTCTCATAAGAACTTCTACTGTTCTTCCATTTTGTTATATAGTTGGCGCCCTCGTATTGGTAGATCTCTGATCTATGCCCTCTTTGGTTTTGATAAAAAAACAGATTTTTAGAAGATTTTAATAAAAGTTGATGAAGTGTATGATTGAAACGTTGATTAAAATTGTACATCCCATAAAATATATGGTTGAAAATGAGTTTGGAAAATAAATTTTTAAGGAACTTAGGCCAAACAGGGGCTACATGTGACGCGGCAAATTGAAAGTAATTTAGCCGTTCTCGCTAACCAGGATAACGGTAACAACTGCCAATAAGCATGCTACATGAGTAATTAATAGAACGAACCATGCTTCATGTACATAAGCATGGCTTCACAGAAGAAAACCAGATACACACAATGCAAGGGGGTTGGTATTTTTTTTCATTTTTTATTTCGATGGGCCCCACATTAATGTGAGTGGATGTAAAATTTCTGTCAAAATTTTTTCTGTACATATGGTTTAATCCTTAATAGAACAAGCCAGAGAGAAACATGTGAGGATGGGACCCTTATGCATAAAAAATAGGCTTTACTCACATGTAGTGCGATAATATAAAATTGCAAGTCAAATGTGAGACTTAACTATGAGACAAAAGATCTGCTTGCAACTTGTTCTTTGTTCATATATAAGAAAAATCGAATAACCAGCAGAATATGGAAGTTTATGCCAAGGAGATGCATAAAAATACTAATTAAAAATGCAAATGTACTCATTTTTTGTTGTTGTATCTTCTCCATTGTTTGTTTTCTTTTGTTTCACATTCACAGCATAAATTTTTTTCCTTATTTTCTACCAAAATGAATTAATTCCAATCTAATTAATGTACAAATCAAACAAAAAACATACCATGTACTCGTTGGCCGTGTCATAACCAAGAACAACATCTGCTAACTTCCCTGAAAAAACCCCAGCAAAAACGCGATTTCATCAGGAAGAGAGCCAAAAAAGAATCAAAAAGACCAAACCTTAAGAAAGAAACTCTTACCATTTTTGTCAGGAAGATTAACAGAGACGATTCTTGCACCAAAATTTGTGACCTTTATAGAAAAATCGCCTTTTTTGAGCTCATAAATCCCAACCATAGGCTCTGATGAGCCATGGCCAAGATTCCCATGTGCCAAAATGATGAAACAGAAGAATATGAAAAACTTGAACATATTTTCTTGTATAAGAATGGAGTCCAGAATGTCTTTATGTAAGTATTCTTAAATAGCATTTGGAAAACAAAAAATGCTCGAATATATAAGAAAAAAGAACAGTTCCTTTACAATTAGACCGTGATGAGCGGGTGGGGTGGGGGGTTTCTTTGGATGAGAACGGTCAATGAAACTCGCTTATTTAATTGGATTTGCCAAAGTTAAGGAACGGTCAAGTAGTTAACCTTTCAACTTCAATCACGCAGAGGACCACTAATACGCGTGATTGGAAGATTCTAATAGGAGATGAATTTTGAATTGAAAGAATCTTGCTCATAGTACTCTCTATTTATAATTTTAAAAAACGTTGACCCAACTATTTTATTAACTTCAACTCCAATGGTTGGATTTTTCTCCGGCGGCCGGTAATCAAGAATTTGAAAAACCATGGGAGTCAAAGCAGATTGAGGTGAAACGGTCGCCAACATTTTTTTTTGCGCACTACCGATGCAACAAGAAGCGATAATAACAAGAGATAAGATCCAAAGTCTCTCGGTGTCATTGTCAATCAACCCAACAAAATGTTGTCACTATTGGTATTCTTTTCGATCTCTACGCATTTCACTGCTCTATCGAAAATTTCATGTCCTACCATACTCCACTTGGTAGTTTTCACCTCATGTCCAGGAATTCTATAAAGAATAATAATGCTTGTACATAAGCAGTTAAATGGTGATTTACAGTGACAAAAAGCAAACGGGGAAGTTTTTTTTTAGAAAAAAAAAATCCGACTCAATCATATCTCACCACACCATGTGTATGTAAACCATTATGTAAACATATTACTATGAATACCTGAGAATATGGGGATAAAAGATTTGTTGATTACACCGTAAATTATAATCAGATTAAGATGGATAATTTATTATGAGATTTTATTCAACCTGACAGACTCTAAACCTTCGTATTAAATTTTCTGGTAAGGTCAGTTGAGTGTAATAAAGGTATTTTGGATTGAAATGTTCAATTGTTTAATACAGAAATTGAAATGGTCAAAGAAACAATTATGAGGACAACTGCATAATTTAGAAGATAATCACAAAATAATGATGTGTGTTGCGGCGCAAAAAGGAGTTGAATTATATTTTTATTATTCGTGTCTATAACGAAAATCAATCAAAGAAATTAGAAACTTCAATTAGGGAGATTTTTTATTAATTAGCACATGTTTCACCATTATGAATATGCTATTTCAAATCTATAAATTCTACCAAATCCATTAATCATACACACACAATCATTTTTAAAGAGAAATCACACAACTTGGTAGCATCCATGAAATTCATATACGTTGACATTTTTCTACTTATTATTTCTATTTCCCGTCTAATTGCTAGCGCTGCATCTAACCTATAAGTAAGTGTATGTCTCTCTCAACCAAGACGCAAACACAATTAGTACATAGGTGGATGATCAAGAAAAATAGTTGATCTTCATCAAACGTGTGGAGCCTAATCTTATGATACACTTATTTCCTCGCATGCGAGTTGACCTTCATAGAGGGTACTCTACTCGTGTATTAGATTGTCTATTACATAAATGATTTTAGAACACAGTTCTTCTACTGTGTAAGATGTATGAGATCACGACCTTGTACTCTCGCATTGAGGGAAGTCGTTAAAAATCTACGTTCGTACTTTTTTCACTCGATAACCATCCGAATGCTATTGTCACCATTTCTGGAACGTATTACAAGGAGTGTTATTTCAACGACCATATGATGTTAGTGTATACAATTTCTGCGCCGTGATTTATATTTTTCCATGTGCCTCATTGGTTTAATATTCATAAAAAATTGGTAGCAGCGAGAAACTATATTTTAAAACTGTTCGACTTACTAATATAGATTTTCATTGTTTTTTTCTTTTACCTTAATTTTATAGAGACTGACAGAAGGAACGAACGTTTGTTTGTTCACATCAAGTTGAATAGCTGAATAGTCTAAGCCCCCGTTTGACATCCATTCTCTTTCTCATTTTTTTCTCTTTCTTCATTTCAACCACACATCCTATCAATAAAATAATATTACACATAAACCCAAAAATTCTTCTTACTTTTCAACCTTACATTCTTCCCATCAATCACTATTTCAGAATTTATTTTTCACCAAAATGGGTGTCAAACACACCCTAAAAGCATACGAGTCTTCGTATAACTTTGAACAGTATGATGTTAAAAGTCAACAGTGTTACTTTCTTAAATTAAGTTCTGACGTTACGTTATAGTCACATTTTTATGGAATTCACAACTTTTCAACTACACATTTTATCAATTTTTATCGAGATCTACTAAAAATATTATTTTTAATCCTCACTAAACAGGGGCTAAAAGTGTTAAGCGTAGCTTATATCAGTAAGCTCTTCATTAATTTTTTTTAACTCTCTTAATTATTATTACGTTATGTTTGATAAAGCTTTTTGTAGATCATAATCCTATATAATTTGTAGATAAAAATTGTGAGTCGATTGTGTAGATAAAAATGATGTTGACTAGCTTATAAGCTAGTCAACATCATT